CTTGAAACTCCATTTTGAACTTGTTGGCTTCCTTTATTACTGAATAAAATTTCTTAGTTCTTTCATGTTCTTTGATACAGATCATCATCCAGTCTTTTGTAGTTTCCAGGTATCTTTGAAGGCCAATTGTTGAGAACTGCCTTACAATTAATGCAATTGTAAGGCAGTTCTCATTGAACTAATCCTCTGCTTCTTTTGGATCTGGACACATATATGATCCATATGTATGTACATGTGTGTGCTTGGACATACAAAGTGTTAAACCAAAATTCAAGGAATTTAAACAGTGTGCAGAAGCAAAATGCAGGACAGACAATTGCTATTATTAGCAGTGACCTATGTCATCCAGACTGTATACATGCAAAAAGGGAATATTTCGAAGAAGCAAGAAGGAACTAGCTGTTAGGGAAAGTCATCTTTTACATGTTCAAATACCAACATTTTAGTAGCACATCACTCCTTACATCTCCCCAGATTGCAACCCCCTTGATTGAAATTCAAATAAAATTGGCATTCTTTCCTGAACTCATCAAAACAAAGCATTATCTCCACCTGGTGTACTGAATTTACCAGAATACAATGCGGGTTTTTTAAATTTTTACAATTGTTCTTTCTGCTTGAACAAGTTCAAATAATAGTAAATATGTTCATTGTTTTCATCATTGTTGATTTTCAACTTTTCATAACATTTGGTAAATTCAATTCCCTTTCAGTGAAATTGTCTGTTGTCTTGCATGATGCTAATTTCTCTTAAAATTTGATTTTTTTCCCCTCTCTCTTGTCTTAAAACTTTGGATTGATTTTACTTCATTTCAATATGGAGATTTGTAAATGATCTGAAACATTTTATTTCTTTCACTATAGAAATTAAGTTCTTCTAAAATTCTGCCTCTGTTTTTCTTAATAATTTGTAATCAACTCTGTCAAGTCCAATATGCACCACTCTAAACCAATTTAATTTTACCATACACACTTAATTGTTGCAACAACATCTATCAGGCATTTCAATTCATCCGTCAAATCTTGTAACATAACAGTTTTATTATTTGAGCAAATCACATGGAATACTTGGGTTTGGACAATTTTGTTAATGAATGCTAGGTATTCAAAAATTCACTAAGTTTAAATCCTTCTGCTCAAATGTTATATATATATATATATATATATAAAGAAAGAACAGTAAGATATATAATCCAGTGTTCTATATAGATATTTTTATTTTTACAAAATAGTGCTCAATGTAAATTTACAGAGCATTAATATTATTAATTAATTGATTTAAAATATGGTTTTTTTCACTACACAGTTCTAACCATGGTTCAAAAATGGAAGCTAAAAGCCCCAAATTTAATTTTGTAAAGCGAATTCTAACCTAAACATCTTTTAAAATTGTAGTTAAATAAAACATATTTTAACCTAAACACCTCTCAAAAAGTACTACCGGCACTTAAATGAATCCAATAAAACACCTACTGAAAAATGAAATTATGACGAAAAGCTAGAAGATGTAGGCCATTGAATGACCTATGTCCTTTGTACATACATGTGAAACTATATTTATAGTTTATATATATGAAAAAAAAAATAAAATAAATAAATAAAGTTTACTAAATCAGAGAAAGGAATTAGCTATTTTTGCCATAAGTGCCATAAATTTTACTTAAATAATATTTAAATATAAAATTTTAAAAATCGTAATATTCATATACTTGATATGAAAAAATAATTTTACTTACTGTAAGTAATTCTAATACATTTACTTCTATTGAAAGAAATATAGTCTATTAAAACTAACAATGAAAATATTTTAAAGTTGTAATTAAAATTGTAGTTAAATAAAATGAATTCTAACCTAAACTTCTTTTAAATTGTAATTAAATAAAATGTTTTCTAACCTAAAGACCTCCTTCTAAGTACTACACGCAATTAAAAGAATCCAATAAAACACCTACAGTATAATGAAATTAATATGTAATAATGCTAGAAGATGTAAGCTTTTGAATGACCCATGTACTTTGTACTTACATGAGAAAAAATACATTACTAGGTTTATATAAAAAATAAAAGTTTACTAAATCAGTGAAATTAAGTAGCTATTTTTGCCGTCATTGTCATAAATTTTACTTAAATAATATTTAAATATAAAAAAAAAAAATTTGTAACCTAATAATTTACATACTTATACTTGATGTGAAAATAATTCTACATACTGTAAGGGATTCTAATTACATTTAATTGTTCTTAAAAGAAATATAGTATATTAAAAATTAAAAGTGAAAATATTTCAAATCGTAGTTAAAACGTATTCTAATCTAAACACCCCCCAAAAATCTTTAAATATACAAATAGAAAAAAATGCCGTAAGAATTTTTGCCATTAACAATAAAATCCAGACGACATGCATTTAACGGATGTCAGATTTCATTGAAAAATACATCCCTACCCCTACCAAAACATAACTAATAACTGATACATCAAAATACAGCCATAATGAACACCCAGACACCCCTTGTCTAGTGGAAGTGGATTTATCTGTAACCATGGAAACGTGATCTTAGCTGTGTCTTTAAAACCCAGTAATTTTAAAAGTTACTCCAAAATTCGCTTGAGGATGAAATGGATCTAATGTCTTTAATTTAATTACAAAATTAAATTCGGGGCTTTTTAGCTTCCATTTTTGAAACATGGTTAGAACTGTGTAGCAAAAAAAAACATATTTTAAATCAATTAATTTATAGTATATATATATATATATATATATATATATATATATATATATATATATATATATTATCAAATGAATTAAGTTCAACAATTCTTTTAATATATTTTCTGTTTATATGTTATTTTTATAGATATAATTTATTTAAGCAAATACTCTGTTTTTCAACAAGTGTTTGGTTAGCAAAGTCTGAAATACTGTATTATAAACATACACCTTTGTCAATTTACTTTGTGGTTGAATGGTTAACAGCACATTAGATCAAATGATGGTTCCCTTTGGGATTACAGGTTCAATTCCTGTCAGAGAAGCTGATATTTTCTACAAAATTTCTCAAACACTCAGCCCGGTAAATGAAATTAATACTGTTTAATTAAAAAACAGAGCATTTACTTAAATAAATTATAACTACAAAAATAACTTATAAACAGAAAATATATATATATATATATATATATATATATATATATATATATATATACTAGTTTCCCTGGGAGCTAAATATAATTTAAGATGCTTTATCAGTTTTAAAATAATTCTATTTCTATTGTCTCATCAGAAGAGTCAAATGCATAGGGATGAACAAATTGCTTTTTGTCACCATTTACTTTTTTGTATAAATATCGAATATACACAAACAATCACACATGCAAACACAATTGTGCATTTCTACACACACCACTCAAAACTAACTACCACTGAATAATTATTGAGGTTTCTTTATGAAGTTTAATATAACATAATGTACTATATTGATTATATCTTTGTATATTCACTTGAGGCAACAAAATCAGCACAGGTATTTGGTGAAATTAACAGAATACCTTAACCTGTGTCACAAAATAGGGCTTCTGTACTTGTATAACAAGGGTCTTCCTCAAATGTCACAAAAGACTTTACAAATTTAAAATTTTTGCTTCATTATTTATTTATTTGTTGGTCTTCACATTTTTTAACAATAATTAAGATTCATCTCAACTTCATATATTTACCAAATAAATGTTTTATCTGTCATGATGATTTTCCCACTTTGTCTTTTGAACAGGAGTTGAGGTTTATCCCTTGTTTCCTGTTTAGGATTGTGTTTCCAGTTCCTTCTAAAGTCTTCTCATTCTCTTTCACTCCCTTGCGTCTTAGTAGTATTATGGCCCTGCTTAGGCTGAAATGATTAAAAATATATATATATATATATATATATATATATATATATATACATACATTGTGCTTATATATATATATATATATATATATATATATATATATATATACTTATAATATTGAGTTGAATAACATTATTGTTATATCATCTTATGTGGTCTATACACTTTGATGTGAGTAAAATATTGTCTATATTTCTGAGATGAGGTATTATGTACATTATTTACATTATTCGGACTATTGTCCTCATTTTTGTCGCCATATTTATTACAACGTTTTGGCCGTTGTATGCTCAAATGCTTCAGGTGGTTGGAATGTCAAACTGAACCCTTTATTTCGCTCACTGGGGTAGACTGTTCTAGTTCCACGTGCCATGTTTAATGGATGTCAGTTATCAGTTATCTCCTGTTAATTTCCCTCTGAAAGTTCTCCACTGCCTTAACCGAGTATTGAACTCACATTATTTGAGTCCGGTCACTGGATCTAACTAACGCCTTTACCCACTGTGCTATGTGTTCTTGTAGCACCTGTTAGGATCCCAGCTATAAACATATAGTGAACCCACAAAGTTGTGTTAAAACATTATGAAAGTATAAACATGGGTTTTTGTAGTAGAAGTACCAGCAATACATTAAAAAAAATATTGGCAGCAATACATTTTTGAAAAAAAAAAATTAGCAGCAATAAACCCTCTTTACAAAAATATGTCAATGAAACCTGGTCTACAAACTGATTTCTTACAAAGAATACATATTCTATTCATATGAACCTAGCCTAAAAATGTTGTCAGCATTAAATAACCCATTGAGTTGTTGATATGCCATAAAACAAAATAAACCAACAAGGCCACAAGAATTGAGTGTCCATTAAAAAACTCACTACCTTGCTAAAGCACTGCTCTATGGTGATATGGTTTCAATCTTTACTGTATTATTGACAATAGGAGTAATGGGAGTAACATATCTTGGTTTAATTTGTAGCTTTGGTATTTTGTTTTTAGTTATTAATCTGTTTTAACTTTTGATTAATTGTTACTTATTTACAGATTTATTTAAAATGATTAATTTCAATTGATTTTGAATTCATAATTGATTTCCTTTTTCTTTCTTGATTTATTTAGATTCCAGTGTAAAGGCAGATCCATACGCCCTTCAGCTTGACCAGTTGGCAGCCGGCATTAGGCGCAGTATTGTGTTGGATGAGGAGGTTTTCGAAGAAACCTTTCTGCGCTGTATGATCTGTCGAGACCGTTATGAAGAGAATGTCAAAATACCTAAAATCTTACCCTGTCACCACTCCTTCTGCCTACCCTGCTTGCTGCAGTTGTATCAGTCTGAGTGCACCCAAAGCAGTAGTCTCAGACACTCACGTTCTGTTGGCGTAGGTGGCGCCATTAGCTTCCAGTGCCCCAGCTGCCGCAACTCATTTATGACTTCCGAGAGTCACGTGATTCAACTTCCCACTGACCACCGTGTTGTCCAACTGCTGGACTTTGTGCGTCACACCAACACCTACACGGTCAACTTTTGCTCCAAGCATCATCTACAACCCCTAAACTTCTTCTGCGAGCCGTGCATCAAGCCCGTCTGTCGTGATTGCACAGTGCTAGACCACAAAGAGCGCCACGGTCATATGGTTATGGATGTGGACGAGGCTCTCAAAAAGTACCGACCAGTACTGGAATTGGCCGTGACCAATATGGAAAACGAGGCGACATCACTGCTTAGTAAGAAAGGGACGCTCGAGTGTATGGTCAAATCAATTGAATCGAACCATGACATATTAATGCAACAGATCAAAGATGCATTCCGAGTGATTCGAGAGGCCCTCGACACAAGAGAGCACGACCTCATGGAGATGACAGAACAAAATATTTCGCGAGAGAAACACCGCATCACATCGATTGTGGAAAAGATGGAGGAGCGACAGAAAGCGATAAATAAAGAATGCGTGAAGCTGCGAGAAGCGCTGACTGATTCCAACATCGAAGAGATGTTTAACCTTCACGAGAGTCTGAAGAAGGCAGCCAAGAACCCGATTCGTGTGCGCGAACTTGATGATGGTCTTCAGACACAACTGTCGTTCCATTCATCTCTGGATCTTCTGCTGGAGAGGATTGATAATTTTGGCGACATAGCAGCCCAGGTGACGATGAACAGTTTGACAAAAGAAACAAATGCGAGTAACTCCCATTTAACATCTTCCGATTGCTAAAACTTTACCATTTTTTTTCGAATTTATTTTATTTTTTTGCTCCAAATTAAAAACCGCAGAGTAATGGATAAAACGAAAGAAAAAAGTGAAGATAGACATTTACAAGACCATGATTGGAAGCAATATATATATATATATATATATATATATATATATATATATATATATAAAAAATCAAAAAAGAGAGAAAAACCAAAAATATTTTTTTCTATATATTATTTTATTTCTTTTTTGTTTTTGACAGTTTTTTTTCCTTTTCACTTTTGCATCAATATTTTCTTTGTTTCTTTTCATGGGAGCAGGGCAAAAGTGGGATTGTGTATTTACATTCTGAACAAGTTTAGAAAGTGCAAACTCACAAATTATAAACATAATATGGAGAATTTTGCTACACAAAAAATACATTATCATAACATTTCCTTATGGAGTAAGGTGACTGAGGTAGTTATAGATTTACTGCCAGTAGTAAGTGTTCAAACCAAGTTAAAAGCGCAGATTTTGAATGCTGAATCCAAAGGTAAGCACACAGGTCCTTCCCACTTCACAGACTGGTACAGCATAATCCACCAATATACAATATGTTTCCATTTGCACTGTGCCAGACTAAGCTAAGTTTTGTAAATATATCTTCTATAATGATTACCTTTTAACCAGGTGTTCTCTTCTAATAACCCACCCTCAACAACAGGAAAAATAATTAACTAATTTATAAAATGCAGGTTGGGAAGCAAATCTTGCAATATTGCTGTGACCTTTGATCATAGATTATGTTAAAATGAATAATTTAATCAACTTGGCATCTATTATTTTTACTTACAGCCTCAACATAACCACTCAGAATAGTTCAACTCTTAACCACAAAATCCTTGTACATCATGGCTCATGCCATACATGCCACAGAGTAGACGATCACTATGATAGATTAATCCTATTCCATCAAATATATATATATATATATAAATATTTTGTTTAATTTCATTTTCTAAATATTTCATTTCTGCATTTTGTTCTCGGTCGACATTTAACGGATCAGAAAAGATTGCATTTAACAAGCGTACATTGAAACATGACTTTTAACAAATCAGGTTTATGTCCTTCTACAAGCCAATTTAATTCTTTTATTATTTTTTACTCTCTTCTTCCTTCTAAAACAAGTTTGGCTGGTCTTGTTGGTTTGAAAGTTGAAGTCAGCTGACCCATAACCATCTCAAAATCTCAATTTACATCTTGAGAGTAGATTACCTCATGTATCAAACTGTTCCATTTTTCTTGCTCACCACAACATATAATTTGCTAATAGATAGATAGATAGATGAAAACACTAATTCTTACTTAACATAAATATCTTGTTCATATGTCAATCCTTCATCTTAAACTGTAATTTAATTTGTGGCCTCAAATCATCAATTCATTGTACTTCTTGGACATTTTTCATTAGTCCCAGTAAAAGTTAATGTCTATACTTTTAAAATACAGAAAGAAAACAAAATGATTAAATTGGTTACTTGTGGAACTAGCAAAAAGCCCTTCTTGCATAGTTTAGCTTAGTACCATGAAAACCTTTTCCAAACTAGTTTCTGACTTTGTCCCTCTTGCTTATTCGTACACCCAGCTGCATTTGGGTCAATCATTTTCCTATTTTCTTTATCTTTTTCTAAGACAGTTTATTCGGTAGATGGCCAAATTTCCACACTAACTACTTAATCATCATGATTGGCTTGCTTAAAACAATCCCAAAAGAAAGAGAGACAGTTAAGGTGAATTTATAACTATAGCAGTGAAGGCAGCAACGGTGGCCGTAGTAATGTTGTGCATGGTGGCCCGTCCACAACTCTATTGCCATAGTGACGAGGCCATGGTGGCGGTGGTAACAGAAGTAGCGCCCTGCGTGACGGTCGCGGCTGTGAAGGTTGTCTTCAGAGCTTGCTTTTAAGCAGATTTGGTGGTCCCCATGGGCGTCCCTTTTACTGGCGAGAATGTTCACGTATCGTAGACCGGGCATGGTGCGTAGAGCCTAATATGCAGAAAACGATTTTGTTATTTCATTTTCAGCCTTCAAGGCGTTCACATCTGGCCAGCGTGCAGAATGAGATCTAATTGCAACGGAGTATAACAAAGGCATTTGACTGGCTTTGGCTTTTGCTAGTTTGCTTCATGAATTGAAAGGTTATGGCATTTCTGAATGTTTTTACTGATTCAATTTTTCTTATTGAATCATGAAATAAAATTGGTCTAGTCAAATTATTCTTAATTAATACAGATGCCCTCAGACCTAACGTTGTTCTTAATTATCTTCAACGACCTGATGTCACTAGTTTCTCAACTTGGAAATTTATGCTAAAGACATAACTATTTACTTCTGTCTCAATAGTAAATCTGATCGATTCGATATAGTCAAATTGGCAGCTGATGATCTACAATCTGTTGTTAACTGCGGCAAAAAATGATTTGTTAATTGTAATGGCCCCAAAATGAAATTGCTTTCTTTTAATTGTCTGACAGAACCACTTTGTTTTCCATCAGCATGACTATTGCTAATCCCCAGGAGAGTAACTCGGGAGTCAGAAGAGAGTTCCACAAGCGAGGTAAGAAACTATTAACATAGAACTTACGGTTACATTTAGCATTTTCAACAGTTAAATGATGGGACCTATCTGCCAGTCTAGTACTATGAGATACCAAAAGAAGAAAGCTCATCAGAACAATATGAAAATGAAATATACTTTTGCTCTTTTCGTGCACAAATTTAAACCTTATGAAATTATTATCCGTTTATAGGCTGCAACCATCAATATTCTAAATTTTGAATGTGGCTTTTTAAAACTCGACTTGTACACGAGTATATGCGGAAAATCTAGAGATACTTCTTTGTGTGTGCGCGCACGTCTCTGTCTCTTTCTATCTTTCTCTCTTCCCCACTATTTTTTTCTCTTCTCCCCTTCCAAATTGTTTCTAATTGTTCAATAAATCCTTCCCTTCCTACATTTTATCTCCATTCAGTTTAATGTTTTCGGTTTTTAATGCAAACAGACACAAGTGAATAAATGTTCACCGTAAAATACACAAATTAGAATCACCTAACTAATAACGTGAAACTTCTCTCTTCACCCGAATAACAGCAGATACGCAACGTAGTATGGAGTCTATGATATATCCTGGAGTCGTTCTAGTGTTGAGTTGTGTTCGCTGGGTACAGGGAATATTGTTGGAGCCGTAACATGACTCATAAATTGCTCAATGGATTTATGGGGTATCTGAAATCACCGGTTTGTTCGTCGAGGTTGTTTCGTGTCACCCCACTCATAATGCTAAAATTTGCGTTATCTTTTACTGGAACGGGGAAACCTGGCGATGCAAGAAGAGGATGCAAATGATTTGTCACATGTTGGTGGTGTACGTCATGTCGGTTAAGACTCCAGTTTCACTAGTAGTGGTCCTTGCAAACTCCATCAGAACACACGAACACGACAATGACAATGTTCTCTGGCCCAGGTGAGGAACATTAACAGATGCATTTATGTCAATAATGGCGTTTTGATTAGTCAACAAAACCCCGTGAAATGCATTTTACGCTGGGCATTGTGTTCACAGATAGGTTTAACAGCATCAGCGATGAAACAGTTTGTGATTTGATGCAATGGTGGTAAGGTGGTTACCATTCTCGTCAGTTGACAATTGCAGTTCCGTCTTTGTGGGTCTCTGTCCAGAATTTACATATTCCTACTGTACTCTTGCTACTGCTTCCCGAGAAAACAAAACCTAGAGCAGTTGCCACTTCATTAGCAGAGTGTTCTATCTTAATGGTCCCAACAGTAATTTCGCAGTCAAATAATCCTATGTAACCTTTTTACCTATTACGTCATACATACGTCATCTGGCTGATTCTATTTGGGCAAGTGAGGAAGGGAGAATCTCTCCAGTATACTCGTGTCTCTAATTTTTGCGTGTTTCAGTTCATGCAATAATAATAATAATAATAGCAATAAAGGTCATTAACGCCTAACAAAACACAATGGCCAGTAAATAACTGGAGTTTAACGAATTTTAAGGCGATCATGTTTTGTAAATAAAGTAAATGCCTAATCAAAAGCTCAAAAGACTTATCTTCTGACTTCAAGTTTCGCAGATCCACTGCACATCAGGTTAACCAGAAGGCCGCAGGCATAACTTATGTCTACATTGCTTTTCCACCACAGTATAGGAATGTCTGATACAAATGTTTCTCCAACTGAAGGATTCAGGAAGACGCGCCTAATAGCAAGCTGGTTAACTTGTACCGGGTAATCTAGTCTCCCGATTCGTTCAACTAACCAGATGGAAATGACAAGAAGCTGAGCAGTGAACGCGAAATTTAACTGAAAATTAGATATATCGTTCTATCCAATCTGAAATTATTGGCGCTATTTATTTATTTAATTGATATATCACACCGAGTAAGGAATTGTGGGTATTTTCCCTATAACGGTGTATTCGGTAAAAGTCCGAGAGTTAATCTGTCGCCTAAAAGACAACCAATTCAGTTTTTTTAGTTATCTCTTTTCTGACATGATGATGTTATTTTCTCTCCCACATCATTTGAGATATTGTAAGGGGACATATCCACTTTATTTGTGACGTGCTAACGATTGTGTGATATGGCTGTCCCTTGAAAGCCCTCTCACACACATAAATATTAACTGATTTGAAAATGCTTTTCAGGCATCACTAACATATATGAAAATATAGTGTTAGGTTAACCCGAAATATCTCGAACTTCTACATGACTTTAAAAACAGAGTGTATAAAGAAACGCGCCAATAAACTTGTATTTTACCTGATAAATATATTTTATACAGAAAGGAAATTATTTTAAAACAATAATAGTCACTCTGTATAAGGGTTTCAGTTTTACATCTGGTCACATGTGTATCTACATATATATTTTCATAATTTTCACGATATTCAATCAAGATTTACAATAGGCTTAAAAAAAGGTTTTTCCACAGCCAACTATATTTGCT